GCCTCTAACACTAGCTTGCTCTATTCTTTTTCTATTTTATCTGTTTTCTTTTTATTTATATAATTAAAGAAAAAACTTGCTACATGCATTAAGTTAGGCTAACTTTTCATAGCACTTGCATATCATTGCTCTTTTGTTAATTTTGATTGCTTCCATTGTCCTCATTTGTAAGTCGCTTTGGATAAAAGTGTATTTGAGAAAAGGGTTTAGCGATTTCTAATTATTGGGGGGACTAGCCTCCCTCAATGTCTGGTGGTTATAGCGCCCTGATCAGACATGAAAATATGTTGTGGCATTATCGTGCAGTCTATAATGATATGACGTTAGTTAGCAAATATTAGCGAAGTAACATGACCATAAATATGAACTCACGATTGAATGTAACATAAAACAGATGATTACTTTTCGTTAAAATCTTTATTAATGCCAAAAATGCTGACATGTATGTGTCTTTTTGTTCCGTCAGTGAACAACGGCTCTGTGTAGTTAATGCTGCTCAATGTGAAAGCACGCAGGTGATGGAGATTTACCGCTGATTACAGAACCGGCTTTACTGATAAGATGCGCGTTAAATATCGCATGCGATTTATCGTGCAGCCCTAGTGTAGTACATATAATATGTACTCATACAAATGTTGCATGTCTCATTCTGTTCTCTTCCCTCCTCGTCTCATCCCAGCATCCCCTCCCAACGCTGCGTCTCGGCCAGTCGTCTGATGTGCGTCAGGGTGAGTTCGTGGTTGCCATGGGGAGCCCTTTCTCTCTTAAAAACACAATCACATCTGGAATCGTCAGTTCTGCCCAGAGAGGAAGTAGAGAACTGGGCCTGTCCAACTCCAACATTGACTACATCCAGACTGATGCTACCATAGATGTAAGAGCACAGGAAACGACATTAGAGAATTTGGGTATTACTGCTTGTTCATTTCATTTATCAGATAACTCATATATTGCATCACATTTCTATTTTACAGTTTGGAAATTCAGGAGGTCCCCTTATAAACCTGGTGAGTCACTGACTGACATTTACACAACATACCGCTAGTACATTTTGGTTTTAGAAACAAGGAAGTTGAGGTGTTTAATTTTGCAGGTCAGATTTAATTTATAGGTCATTTGACTTATTTGTCTACCTGATCAATCTATCGGAGAACCTGCTGATTGGTCACGTGATGTAATGCATGTGATATGAACTAACATGTGATGTTTGTAACTTTCAGGATGGTGAGGTCATCGGCATTAATACCATGAAAGTGACTGCAGGGATTTCCTTCGCCATTCCCTCAGACAGAGTCCGCATCTTCCTTGAGCGTGCGGCAGACAAACAGAGTAAGAATGACCCTTGACCTTCTCATTCTTGTTAGTGACATCATTTGTATTGAGGTCGCTGATTGATGTGAATCGGCTGTTTTCAGAGTCCTGGTTTGGAGAATCAGGATCAAAACGGCGTTACATTGGAGTGATGATGCTGACTTTGACCCCCAGGTGCCTATCTGTGTTTTAATAACAGACCCTAAATGTGTGTGAGATGGTCACTGTATTTTTTATTTATGGTTTTTGCCCTCTCAGTATAATCGAAGAGCTGAAGACGCGTGACATGTCCTTCCCTGATGTTTCTCATGGAGTTCTCATCCACCGTGTTATTATAGGATCTCCCGCCAATAGGTAAGCAGCACTGCTCTCACCCCCATGTTGATAGAGGCCTCCTATTGTCAATGTCATTTCCTGTTTTCTGTTTCACAGAGCTGGAGTGAAACCAGGAGATGTTATTGTTGAGATAAACGGGTCAAAGGTGAACTCGTCAGAGGAGATCTATAACGCTGTGAGAACAAGCGACAGCATAAACGTGGTGGTCCGGCGGGGGGCCGACCTCCTCATGCTGCACATGACCCCTGAACACACGGAGTGACGTCCCGTGAAGCTTACGCATATAAATAAGAGAGTGATAAATGGTTCGGCTGAGTGAGAAATGAGAAGCGAAAGATGATTTGAATAATTATTATAGTTGGAGATAATCGTTGGAGAGTTTCAAGAAGGTAATAGGGCTGAACAGTATAGTAGCAAAGCTGGACGCTTGTGTAGTCAAAATGTTATAATTGTGCAGTTTGTGCACTTTTTTTGGAAGTATATGAATCAGTGTGGATGATTCTGAGCATTACACTGAATAAATATCAGTGTGTGCTCTCAAACTACACTATCAATATTGTTTTTGAAGGAATACGTCTAAATATTTGTGTGAAACACAAGTGGGTGCTCTTATTCCAACATTGCAGATTTTTTGTATTCAATGTATTTTAATACATTTTACAAACCGCTGTGACTTCACAATAAAACATCAACGTTTTTGGATCATTATATATTCACAGTGCTTTCAGAAAATGTGACCAAGTACACTTTCATCACTTTCAAAATTAATATTGCGTTAAGCCTTCCACAAACTAGACTACATGATTTTCAGAAGTCGTGCGATTGCTGTTCTTTGCATGTTACACAACTGTCTGTCGTAAGCCGTGTCAGTTCCGGTCGAAACACATTTCACACTGCAGCCTGCAGGACTTGGATCACAGACAAGTCTATTTAAAGGAATAGTTCACCCAAATATGAAATCGTTGCCATCATTTACTCACCCTCAAGTTATTCCAAACCTGTAAGAGTTTCTTTCTTCTGTTGAACACAAAAGATATTTTGAAGAATGTTGGTAACCAAACAGTTGCTGGTAGTCTGGCTTCCATAGTATTGTTTTCCATACTATGGAAGTCAATGGCTACCAGCAACAACCGCACGTTATAATCATTTAGCCCTGATTTCCCCCTCGCCAACAGTTGAAGATTGCAGACAAAAGCCCAGAATTGGAGGCAAATCTGTACGTGTGAGTGACGAATGCTATGTTTTGATTTTCAAATCATTCAGATTGCAATGCAGTTGCTAGGGTTTTCAGGGTGTTTGCTATGCATTACTAGAACAAAATAAAATTAAGACAATAAAAAACTAAGGCACTGTGTAGCTGTTTTGGCTTTATGAGTCTTAAGCAGAGGCATTTGTAATGTAACCAGTCATGACTGATCATTTATTATTACCATTTATTTGTTTAATGGCTCATGAAACTTGAAATACTTGAAATGATTTGAATTACAACTTTAAATAACACTTTATTTTTCATCTTTAACAGAGTTGCATGTGACATGAAATATTTTACTGTAGCTGAACACATGAATGCATAACCAGTTCAGTAAAAAGACAAATCTAGGACAGCGTGTAAAAACACAGCACTGAAGATTTAACAAGTCATACATGAAAGAGCGTTTGAAAATAAAATAGGAGTTGAGTCAGAGCTTTGAAGCATAAGGTACATTCACACTTTGCAACAGCTTTTAAACATGAATGCTCATCTGGAGTACAAAACATTCAAGTATGTTTAACTCACAGAGACAGCAGCACACGAGCTGTGTGATACATCGACAAGGCTTTTTAAACCTTTCAGAAAATAAGCACCTGATTGCACTGTAAACACATACGGCAGGCTGTACTACTGCACGGCCTGAGCAATCTAATCTTCACACTACTCAAGCCAGACTCAGTAGCCCAGAGTGTTTTTTGGAGTTCTGTTTTCATACAAAATTATAGGTAATGTCAATACAGCTATACTCTTGGTGTAAAAACTTTGGATACTGTAGATTTTAGGATTTCTGTAATTGCAATGTGAGAAGTTAATTAGTTTATGGCTGGTTTGAATGAATAAATATTTTACTCTGGATTAACCTACACATTAAAATTGTCTCAATATGCTAATTAGATCAATCTGGTGATAGGATTATGAGATCTGGTTGTTAAGTTGTCCAGGGTATTTCTCAAACTTCTTCTCAGCCTCCTCACTGAAAGCATCACCTGAAATAAAGACAAGGAAAAATAAATCAGTATTTGACATTCAATTAAAGCACTTTTCCAATAAGACAATAAGAGTAAGACAATATTCAGAATAGCATATTACCCTGATATACTCTTACTATTTTTGCAGTATATATAATAAGTGAACTGCATAAAATGGTATTTGGACATTAATTGATGGACTGGAGTTGTGTAGGATTATTGTGATGTTTTTATCAGCTGTTTTGTTTTGACGGCACCCATTCACTGGTGAGCAAGTGATGTAATGCTAAATTTCTCCAAACTCATCTACATCTTTTCATTTTTGGGTAAACTATTTCTTTAAGGCTTTGTATTCGTCTCTCACCAATATGGCAGTTATGGACCCAGATCCTGTGCCCATCATATTTGCAGTTACATTTCATGGCATTGTTTGTGAAGTCACTCTCAGCAACCTCATAGTTAGGATTTATCACAACCTGGAAAGAAGTGAAAACAAGTCTAAATACTATTAAATCAACCGAATACATGTTTTTGGTGACTGGGGACAATGATCTGCACCCATTCTCTGACCTGAAGGATATAATTTCCTGGTTTGACATCAGTAATATCGATCCACTGGCAATCAATGTCATGACGATACAAATCCCAGCATCCCACTGTGATGCCCTGCTCACCAAAGTTAGCACACTCATATCTCTTGGAAACACCTAGAATAAATACAGATATTTACACAAGTGAAAATATGTCTAAGTAAACAGAGCTGACTGTAAATGTGTATTTGGATGAGTGTGATTTACCCTCGTCACAATCTGTGTCCTCCAGGCAGAAGCTGGCTTTGTGTCCTTCTGCCACTTTAGTGCCATTGGCAGACATCAGGTCATAGTGTGTGAAGATGTCCATACTATGATAATGCCTGTGGAGTCACAGACAAGGGTCTTCAAACTATGGTCAATAGACCCCAGAATGCCACAAAACAGAGAGAAAAACAGATCATCTGCTTGTCTAAAGACTGGTCAGAAATCATACCTTGAAAGTACAAAATCTTCCTGAATTTATATATTTTTTTCTCATTTAGGGTCATGAATGTGCATGAAAATGATCAACACATATGTGTTTTGGAAAGACTAATGTACATTGGTTACATTGATTGTGTTGAGGTAAAATTGACTCTCCATTGGTTTCCATACAATTCACCAAAACACTTTGAAAAAGTGTAGTCAGGCAAAACAACGGGTCAACAACTAAAATATGAAATTCATGACAAGTTTACTCAAATCACTGTTTCTTCATGTCTTTGAGATTCACAGTCAACAAGTATTTGAAATTATAAATTACTAGCACTGAAAATAAGTGAGAAACCCATTTTACCCTCACAAAAGTTTGAGAACTCATAAAACGTCAGAGGATATTTACATCAACTACAAATATCGATACATACTATTTACACTAAGAACAAGTAATGTTACATACTATTTATACTTAGATGTAGAACCTCAGTGTACAAATAGGGAAATGTCAATTAAATGTTTTTATTTTGTGACTGTGCAGCAAATTTTGAGTCAAACTGACCTCTAAAACAGAGGTAGGAACAATTTTTTTAACGCAATAGGAGTTCATAATTTCTCATATTTTACATCTTTAGTGTCTGACAAGCTACAATATGGGTTTTCTGTTTTTATATGAGTCTTTAGTTTTTTGTTTTCCTTTTTTTTTTTTTCTTCGTTTTGCATGAAAACCAGTGGGAGTCAATTTGACCAGCAACACAAAAAGTTAACCCAGATTTTCAACACAACAGGAATAACGATTATTTTACTCCACTGAATGCAGCAGTTTTTAACAGCATGGTTACCCGTGACATGCGTGCCAGACCCACGAGTGACGGCCTGCTTTAGGTCTAAAGTCAGCCCGTCCGATGTTGTGTATCTGTGAGGAGAAGCGGAGCAGGCGGCGGTGACCGTAAGGCCAGTTAGCTTTAGCGGCGCTCTTGGACAGACAGTCCTCCTCTGCTGCACAGTACAGCATGTGTAACGGCCGGTCCTCTATATACGTCGTCTGCTGCACTAGCGGTGCGTTCAGCACTAGATCAGATGCAGCTGGGGAAATAAAATTGTACATTTTAAGATCAAGCTAAAATATGCAAAAACCTTGAAACCGCATGCTGGAAATGTAAAATGAAAGTTCAAAGAAAAATATAGCCTTGGTCCAAGAATTTGATTTAGATTTTTGTTTCTTTTTTGACATTGCATGTTGGTCACTGAACTGGATGTCTGAGGTTTTAATGTCTGAACAAACAGTTTTGCTCAACGCACAACAGTTGAGAAAATGATATGTTGTCTCAAACATAATCCAGACAGGTGTAAGTCATTTGAAGTCAAGCCTTTGCCATGTGAGGTTCACTAATTACAGACCAGTGCTCAGAGAAAGATAAACAGCAGACTGACCACAGCTCTAGATCTACCATCAGCAGCAGACTGACCGTCTGAGAGGTGAGAATTCCAGCCATCTATAAACATATTATGAATAACTCTTGCAAAACAGTCAGTTTTGACTCTTATACTGTTTGACTGAACTAGACTCTGGACTAGATTCTAAATATGGTATTGCTTTTTTACAGCAGTTCTATAAACAAGTTAATACTGAGTGACCTACATTTTAAACACAATATTGCCAATTAGCTGCTTCCCAATTCACAAACTTATGCACTACTATATGCCATTTTAGTATAAATAGCGCGAGTAGTGTATTCACACTTAAAATTCCAAAAAGAAAAAGTGCAAATGCTTGGATGACAAACTTGATTAACAGAAAAAAAATGAAGTGTGGAAGTGTTGTACAATAGAGGGAAGAGTACATATTGTATAGTATAAGTGCATAGTGTTTAGGACATCATTTGGGATATAACTTGTCTATTTTTTTCCAGAGCCAACAAAAATAGTTCCAAACAAAGCCCAAGCAAAATTAATGTGCATTTCTGAGCAAAGCACAGTGAATGAGGGTTTTTAAACAAATCAGTTAAGTGAATGTTTCAGTGACTCACTCATAAAGAAGGTTACTGTTACTGTACTACATTTGCTGAAGAACCTACTTTGAAATCTTTTAAAAAGTATGTTTTATATAGTACGAATGTAGATAGTATAAATTAAATTTGAATGACAACATGACAACATTTAGTCCCATGGTCTTATGGGATTGTAAAGTGTCCATTAGATCTCGCCAGAAGTAGTACATCATGCATGTATTGTTCGCCTACTGTTTTATTAATACTATGAATTTGGACACAACTACTCTTTTCATATATACTATATAGTAGCTTTTCACATCTACTATATAGTAGGTTCATAGGCACATTCAGATGCAGAGAGTCACTTCCTGAATTAATCAGTACTGTTAACCTAATCAGTTGAATAAATGATTCAGTGACTCACTTATAAAGACAGTCACTTTTGTAAACATAACCTGCAACGGTCTCACTGAAAAATCCCCATCATTAATACAAAGACTGACAGTCTATCTGAAAGGCGCAAACACTGGCAGAGTGCTACAATCAGTGAAAAGTCCTAGTGCTGTTGAACTAAATACAAGCTTAATATCAAACAATCAAATTTGAGGTATTCTTTGTATCTGTGTGTGCATATGTGTAAGGTTACTCACTTTCTGAGCAGATAACTCCTGCAGAGAACCGTGCTGCTGCTTTCTGGCAGCTGATCGTTCTGTGGTGTTGGCACTGGTTGAGAGACATCTCATCTCCTGTACATTTCACTCCACTCATAACCATCTCTGTCACATTACTGCTGTCCCAATACCATGTTTCCTTAGCAAACACGCAACACAAACAAACACAGACAGATGGTGATTTACAGTTTACTATGAAGAGATTGTCAGTCACATGCCATTTTGAAATGCTATTTTCATAACTACTTAAAGATTGTAAAGCATTAAGCATCTAACACTTGAAGACCAGGTCATTTCACCCCTCCCACACCCCACCCCCCTCCACACAATAAAAGAAAGAAAATGAAAAATGATTTAAATTTTTCATTCATTTATTTATTTTTGCATTACGGTAGTGAGAATTTGGGAGAAAATGTGCACAAAAAAAAAGAAAAAAAAGAAAGACCAGGCCACTTCACCCCAAAATAAAATAAGTTAGAAAGATAGAAAAAGAAATGATACTTTATAAAAAGTTTTTTAAAAGTATTTATTTTATTGTTTATTTATTAATTTTTGCACCATGGTAATGATAATTTGGGCAGAAACATAAATGGCCTTAAACCTTAACTGTCATGAGAATAATGTCACAACGCAAAAAAAAAAAAAATCTTCTAATTGATTTCTTCTGGAGTAAACCAACCA